CGTCCTTTTTTAAAGTTTCATTAATTGACAGCAACCGTTTTTTGTTTTGCTTGTTTTTTTTTGCCCTGTTGGTAGTTCAGCAGCAAATGTGAGGTCTTATAAGGCTAAAATTGGGTTTCGATAACCACAGTGGGTAGCGCATAGATACCCTATTGTGTATTTTTTGCGGTTAACAACAAACAAATCGTCGTTCAATCAGATAAGAAAATTTACTTTATTAATTGATATAAAGTGCATATCCTGCTACGAAATTAAACTATTTCTTTAGTATGATCAATCCTATTTTTATCTATTCTGTAAATCAGCTGAAATACCCATGTCTCTTGCTTAACAAAGCAAGGATTTCTTGTATAATTACATCACCTTCTGGTCATTAAAAGCTTCGCAAATAAAATTATTCTCATAATTTATAGACACACATGAAGTTGATTGACAGCGTTATGCATGAGATACTGTCTGGATATAAGATATGACACTTTTAAAGGCTCTTATCAATACAACAGATAAAGCGAGTTAAACATGTAATTTTCTCAAAAAAAATACTGCGTTATTACAGCATACCTAAAAGTTAACTATTATATAGTTCAAACAATTTAAGAAATGGATAAGGTTAGGCATTTTTTACACTTTTAGGATACTTAGGACTTATACTTTGTTTAGAACTTAGTCTATTCAAAGCAATGATAAAAATGTGAAAAATTAGCCCATAACAAATTATGCAATGAAATACATTGAAACTGAAGGATATACCAGCACAGTGAAGGTTAGTTTGCAACAACTGATGAATCTGTAATTGTAATGTGTAAATTGAAGTATATATAAATTATACAAGCGATTTTATAACTATCTATCTCTGTTAAAGAAAAATAGAAATAATGCATTTACTCATAATAACATGTTGCAATGAGTTTTAGAGTAATTATATATTCTTTTCACTTTCTATTTCTTTAAATATATAGTTCAATATTCTTTCTTCTATCGTGCTCAGATGTAACATCATATTATGCAACTAAGTAACTAAAATATAACTAGGTAAAGCTTACTATACATGCAAAAGAAACTTTTAATCATTGTGTCATTATTCTTTGTTACTTATTAATTTGTAATAAGGCGAATGCACTAAGAGAGAACAGGAAATGAAGCGCATTGCTACATGGTTTGTTTGTTTGTTTTGGAATTTC